GCTCTCAAGAGGTGGTCGTTAAAACCCACACTGACTAAAGGAGGGAGTGGTCGCTGTAGCTGAGTGGTCGTAGTACGGGGGTGGTCGTAGTAGGAGGGTGGACTTTATAAGAGAGTGGCTGTTGTTCCGTCTGGTGGTCTAAGTAAGCAGGCGGATGGTTTATGTAAGTGGTCGCTGCTAAGAGGTGGTCCTTGTAGAGCGAGGGTGAATTATAGTGTAATTTTAATCTGTGTAATGTTTTACTGGCAACAGGTGGGAGGGGGGGGGGGGTAGGTGGGGTCACTGGGGTGGGGGAGGGGGGGGTCACTGGGGTGGGGGAGGTGGGGTCACTGGGGTGGGGGAGGTGGGGTCACTGGGGTGGGGGAGGTGGGGGGTCACTGGGGTGGGGGAGGTGGGGGGTCACTGGGGTGGGGGAGGTGGGGTCACTGGGGTGGGGGAGGTGGGGTCACTGGGGTGGGGGAGGTGGGGTCACTGGGGTGGGGGAGGTGGAGTCACTGGGGTGGGGGGAGGTGGAGTCACTGGGGTGGGGGGAGGTGGGGTCACTGAGGTGGGGGTCACTGGGGGGGAGGTGGGGTCACTGGGGGGGGAGGTGGGGTCACTGGGGTGGGGGAGGTGGGGTCACTGAGGTGGGGGTCACTGAGGTGGGGGTCACTGGGGGGGAGGTGGGGTCACTGGGGGGGGGGGAGGTGGGGTCACTGAGGTGGGGGTCACTGGGGGGGAGGTGGGGTCACTGGGGGGGGAGGTGGGGTCACTGAGGTGGGGGTCACTGGGGGGGGAGGTGGGGGTCACTGGGGGGGGGGGGGAGGTGGGGTCACTGGGGTGGGGGGAGGTGGGGTCACTGGGGTGGGGGAGGTGGGGTCACTGGGGTGGGGGGAGGTGGGGTCACTGAGGTGGGGGAGGTGGGGTCACTGGGGTGGGGGGGTGGGGTCACGGGTGGGGGGAGGTGGGGTCACTGGGGTGGGGGAGGTGGGGTCACTGGGGTGTGGGGGAGGTGGGGTGAGGGAGGTGGGGTCACTGGGGTGGGGGAGGTGGGGTCACTGGGGTGGGGGGAGGTGGAGTCACTGGGGGTGGGGGAGGTGGGGTCACTGGGGTGGGGAGGTGGGGTCACTGGGGTGGGGGAGGTGGGGTCACTGGGGTGGGGGAGGTGGGGTCACTGGGGTGGGGGAGGTGGGGTCACTGGGGTAGGGGAGGTGGGGTCACTGGGGTAGGGGAGGTGGGGTCACTGGGGGGGAGGTGGGGTCACTGGGGTGGGGGAGGTGGGGTCACTGGGGTGGGGAAGGTGGGGTCACTGGTGTGGGGAAGGTGGGGTCACTGGTGTGGGGAAGGTGGGGTCACTGGGGGGGGGGGAGGTGGGGTCACTGGTGTGGGGGAGGTAGGGTCACTGGTGTGGGGGGGAGGTAGGGTCACTGGGGGGAGAGGTGGGGTCACTGGGGTGGGGGAGGTGGGGTCACTGGGGTGGGGGAGGTGGGGTCACTGGGGTGGGGGAGGTGGGGTCACTGGGGTGGGGGAGGTGGGGTCACTGGTGTGGGGGAGGTGGGGTCACTGGGGTGGGGGGAGGTAGGGTCACTGGGGTGGGGGGGAGGTGGGGTCACTGGGGTGGGGGAGGTGGGGTCACTGGTGTGGGGGAGGTGGGGTCACGGGGGGCAGGTGGGGTCACTGGGGTGGGGGGGGGGGGTGAGTTCACTGGGGTGGGGGAGGTGGGGTCACTGGGGTGGGGGAGGTGGGGTCACTGGGGTGGGGTAGGTGGGGTCACTGGGGGAGGAGGTGGGGTCACTGGGGGGGAGGAGGTGGGGTCACTAGGGGGGAGGTGTGGGGGAGGTGGGTCACTGGTGGGGGGGGAGGTGTGGGGGAGGTGGGGTCACTGGGATGGGGGAGGTGGGGTCACTGGGGTGGGGCAGGTGGGGTCACTTGTAACTGGAGGGGAGGTGTGCGGGAGGTGGGGTCACTGGGGTGGGGGAGGTAGGATCACTGGGGTGGGGGACGTGGGGTCACTGGGGTGGGGAGGTGGGGTCACTGGGGTGGGGTCACTGGGGTGGGGGAGGTGGGGTCACTGGGGGGAGGTGGGATCACTGGGGTGAGGGAGGTGGGGTCACTGGGGTAGAAGGAAGCAGGTTAACGCGGCCACATATGAGTATGGAGGATGATGGAGTGTAACCCCCCCCCCAACCCCCCACCCCTTCCCTCCCTCCCTCCCCTCCCTCCCTCTGCTCCTTCTCCCTAACTCCTCACGTTGTGATGGGGACCCCAGGCTGAGGTTAGGACGGGGACCCCAGACACAGGGCAGGGCATGAGCCTGGAACAGAGGCTGGTGGTTGGTTGTGTATAGAGGTGTATAAAATGTATATGTATATACTGTGATGTATGACCAAACCCATATACATCACACCTTAACTGGGTATATCATCACTTGAATTGTCCTTAAGTTCTTAACCATCTCTAAAGAATTATTTTTCTAGCAAAGGATGATTCGTTCCTGAAGCAGATGTGGGAGAGTGGAGGAAGATAGTGACATTCAACCAGTGGTATGAGAGCGTGGAGAGCGCTCTCTAGGACTACCTAGAGAGCGCTCTCCACGCTCTACCTAGTACATCAGAGAGCAGGAGGAGATGCCAGAGGGCCAGGAGTGAGTACCTCACTGTGAGTAGAGAAGCATAATATGAAAATGATATAAATAACAAATTTAAGACGCAATCTAAGTTGCTCCAGAGTCACATCAGGAGGAAGACAACAGTGCGAGAACAGTTGATGAAACTGATATAAGGGGAGGACGGGTACTCAGAGAATGACAGTGAGATGTGTGGGAGAACTTAAGAAGATATCCCAGGAGGTCTTCACATTAGAGCAAGGAGAAGACCCTGAAGTGAAGGAGGTGGTAGTAAACTAAGCAACTATGAAAGAATTTAAAATTATCACAGAAGAAATTATGAGGTATCTGCAGGTACTAGATGTAATAAAACTGTTGGACCTGACAGAATCTCACCATGGATACTAGAAGAGGGTGCAGAAGCATTGTGGTATATAATAGGTAACTGGAAATAGGAAACCTACCAGAAATTTAGAAGACAGCTAACACAGTCCCAATATGCAATAAAGGGTGACAGGCAGGAGGAGGCACTGAACTACAGGCCAGTGTCCCTAACTTGTATACCATACAAGGTGATGGAGAAGATCATGGGAAGAAAGTTAGTAACCCATCTAGAGAGAAGGGACTTTGTAGCACGCCATCACAGGTTCAGGGATGGTAAATCGTGCCTCACAGGTTAACTAGAATTCTATGACCAGGCAATAAAAATTAGACAAGAAAGAGAGGGGGTGGACACACATTTTCCAGGACTGTCAGAAAGGCTTTGACACAGTACCCAATAAAAGGCTGGTGCATAAGTTGGAGCAACAAGCAGGAGTAAGAGGTAGGGTGCTCCAGGCTCTGAGGGACATCTTGGAATGGCGGTCACCAGCGGAGTCCCACAGGGCTCTGTACTTGGACTCATCTTATTTTTGATATATGCAAACGATCTTCCAGGGGGTATAAACTCATTTCTCTCAGTGTTTGCTGATGATGCTAAAATTATGAGAAGGATTAAGACAGAGGAAGATAGCAAGAGACTAGAAGATGGTCTGGAAAGACTGAAGGAATGGTCCAGCAAATGGCTACTAGAGTTTAACTGAAGCAAGTGTAAAATAGTAAAATAGGTGTAGTGAGCAGGAGGCCAGACACAAGGTACCAACTGGGAAGTCCTTCAAGAATCAGGTGGTGAGAAGGATCTGGGGGTTGATATAACACCGAACTTCTCCAGAAGCCCACATCAATAAGATATCATCAGCGGCATACTAGACTGGCCAACATGAAGGGGGAGGGCGGGAATTATCAGGGGGAAAACGCCAAGCCATTACGACTATATAGCACTTGAAAAGGTCAGGATAAGGAGTTGGGATGGGAAGGGGGAAAGGAATGGTGTGCAACCACTTGGACAGTCGGGGATTGAACGCCGACCTGCGTGAAGCGAGACCGTCGCTCTACCGTCCAGCCCAAGTAGTTGGGTTGGCCAACATAAGAACTGGTATTAGAAGTTTGTGTAAAGAATCGTATAGAACCTTGTATACCACTTGTCAGACCAATCCTGGAGTATGCAGCTCCAGCGTGGAGTCCATATCTAATCAGATACAAGACGAAATTAGAATAAGTTCAGAGATATTCTACCAGACTGGTCCCGGAGTCGAGAGATATGAATTAGGAGGAAAGGCTACTGAAATTAGATCTCGTCACGAAGACAGAAAAGTTAGGGGAGACATGATCACCACCTATAAAATTCTCAGAGGAATTGATAGGGTAGATAAAGTCAGACAATTTAACACGGGTGCGCGAACAAGGGGACACAGGTGGAAACTGAATACCCAAATGAGCCACAGAGACGTTAGAAAGAACGTTTTCAGTGAAAAAACAAATGGAATGTGGTGGAGGCTGACTCCATACACAGTCTCAAGTGTAGATATGATAGAGCCCAATAGGCTCAGGAACCTGTACACCTGTTGATTGACGGTTGAGAGGCGGGACCAAAGAGCCGGAGCTCAACCCCCGCAAGCACACCTAGGTGAGGTCCACTGTGATTGCAAGCACAGAGGACTATAAACACACTGGTCTGCCAGTGGTTTTCCGGGGCTCACCATAGGCCGTGCTACATGGACACTTCGTTCTGAGTAGCTAAATCTAAAACAACAACAACAACAGCCAGGGGTGTATTTCCCTACAGGTGGGCTAGGCTTAACCTCACGGCCCGGGGGACGCTCCCAGCTCCTCCACACTCATCTCTAACCATAAAATATACGGTGTAAGACCCGGTGATATTCTCTGATAAAGAGTTGTAGAAATAATCACCAAACATATATTTTTTAATTTAAATGTGCGACATTTTTTATTTGTAAATTCAAAATCCTGAGACTTAGGCTTGTGCAGGAGTTATGACTCGACGAGATCGAGTCAAAGGTTCATCCCATATGAGGACATGTTCCTTCCCTCCGAGATACTGACCGAGAGTAATCCCTGCTCGTCACCAGCGAGGTAAATATTAATCCCGTTGTTTGAAAGCCTTCACTTGAGATGGCTAAGCAAGACCCAGCTGGGGCTGGGTACAGGAGCTGGCATAAACAAGCCACACGACTTTTTCTATGGTGGAGTGATGTATGTACATGATGCTATGGCGGTGTGTTGTTGTGGAGGCTACACTGACGGTAGTCAAGGTGGAGGCTACACTGACGGTAGTCTAGGTGGAGGCTACACTGACGGTAGTCTAGGTGGAGGCTACACTGACGGTAGTCTAGGTGGACGCTACACTGACGGTAGTCTAGGTGGAGGCTACACTGACGGTAGTCTAGGTGGAGGCTACACTGAGGGGTAGTCTAGGTGGAGGCTACACTGAGGGGTAGTCTAGGTGGAGGCTACACTGAGGGGTAGTCTAGGTGGAGGCTACACTGAGGGGTAGTCTAGGTGGAGGCTACACTGACGGTAGTCTAGGTGGAGGCTACACTGACGGTAGTCTAGGTGGAGGCTACACTGACGGTAGTCTAGGTGGAGGCTACACTGACGGTAGTCTAGGTGGACGCTACACTGACGGTAGTCTAGGTGGAGGCTACACTGAGGGGTAGTCTAGGTGGAGGCTACACTGACGGTAGTCTAGGTGGAGGCTACACTGACAGTAGTCTAGGTGGAGGCTACACTGAGGGGTAGTCTAGGTGGAGGCTACACTGACGGTAGTCTAGGTGGAGGCTACACTGACGGTAGTCTAGGTGGAGGCTACACTGAGGGGTAGTCTAGGTGGAGGCTACACTGAGGGGTAGTCTAGGTGGAGGCTACACTGAGGGGTAGTCTAGGTGGAGGCTACACTGAGGGGTAGTCTAGGTGGAGGCTACACTGAGGGGTAGTCTAGGTGGAGGCTACACTGACGGTAGTCTAGGTGGAGGCTACACTGAGGGGTAGTCTAGGTGGAGGCTACACTGAGGGGTAGTCTAGGTGGAGGCTACACTGAGGGGTAGTCTAGGTGGAGGCTACACTGAGGGGTAGTCTAGGTGGAGGCTACACTGACGGTAGTCTAGGTGGAGGCTACACTGAGGGGTAGTCTAGGTGGAGGCTACACTGGGGGTAGTCTAGGTGGAGGCTACACTGACGGTAGTCTAGGTGGACGCTACACTGACGGTAGTCTAGGTGGAGGCTACACTGAGGGGTAGTCTAGATGGAGGCTACACTGAGGGGTAGTCTAGCTGGAGGCTACACTGAGGGGTAGTCTAGGTGGAGGCTACACTGAGGGGAAGTCTAGGTGGAGGCTACACTGGGGGTAGTCTAGGTGGAGGCTACACTGAGGGTAGTCTAGGTGGAGGCTACACTGAGGGTAGTCTAGGTGGAGGCTACACTGAGGGTAGTCTAGGTGGAGGCTACACTGAGGGTAGTCTAGATGGAGCCTACACTGAGGGTAGTCTAGGTTGAGCCTACACTGAGGGTAGTCTAGGTTGAGGCTACACTGAGGGTAGTCTAGGTGGAGGCTACACTGAGGGTAGTCTAGGTGGAGGCTACACTGCGGGTAGTCTAGGTGGAGGCTACACTGAGGGTAGTCTAGGTGGAGGCTACACTGAGTGTAGTCTAGGTGGAGGCTACACTGAGGGTAGTCTAGGTGGAGGCTACACTGAGGGTAATCTAGGTGGAGGCTACACTGGGGGTAGTCTAGGTGGAGGCTACACTGAGGGTAGTCTAGGTGGAGGCTACACTGATGGTAATCTAGGTGGAGGCTACACTGGGGGTAGTCTAGGTGGAGGCTACACTGAGGGTAGTCTAGGTGGAGGCTACACTGAGGGTAGTCTAGGTGGAGGCTACACTGGGGGTAGTCTAGGTGGAGGTTACACTGCGGGTAGTCTAGGTGGAGGCTACACTGACGGTAGTCTAGGTGGAGGCTACACTGGGGGTAGTCTAGGTGGAGGCTACACTGAGGGTAATCTAGGTGGAGGCTACACTGAGGGTAATCTAGGTGGAGGCTACACTGGGGGTAGTCTAGGTGGAGGCTACACTGAGGGTAGTCTAGGTGGAGGCTACACTGAGGGTAATCTAGGTGGAGGCTACACTGGGGGTAGTCTAGGTGGAGGCTACACTGAGGGTAATCTAGGTGGAGGCTACACTGGGGGTAGTCTAGGTGGAGGCTACACTGAGGGTAGTCTAGGTGGAGGCTACACTGAGGGTAGTCTAGGTGGAGGCTACATTGGGAGTAGTCTAGGTGGAGGCTACACTGGGGGTAGTCTACGTGGAGGTTACACTGGGGGTAGTCTAGGTGGAGGCTACACAGAGGGTAGTCTAGGTGGAGGCTACACTGAGGGTAATCTAGGTGGAGGCTACACTGGGGGTAGTCTAGGTGGAGGCTACACTGAGGGTAGTCTAGGTAGAGGCTACACTGAGGGTAGTCTAGGTGGAGGCTACACTGAGAGTAGTCTTGGTGGAGGCTACACTGAGGGGTAGTCTAGGTGGAGGCTACACTGAGGGTAGTCTAGGTGGAGGCTACACTGAGGGTAGTCTAGGTGGAGGCTACACTGAGGGTAATCTAGGTGGAGGCTACACTGGGGGTAGTCTAGGTGGAGGCTACACTGAGGGTAGTCTAGGTGGCGGCTACACTGAGGGTAATCTAGGTGGAGGCTACACTGGGGGTAGTCTAGGTGGAGGCAACACTGAGGGTAGTCTAGGTGGAGGCAACACTGAGGGTAGTCTAGGTGGAGGCTACACTGAGGGTAGTCTAGGTGGAGGCTACACTGGGGGTAGTCTAGGTGGAGGCTACACTGGGGGTAGTCTAGGTGGAGGCTACTCTGGGGGTGTGGGCGGGACCTTTTCCTGGTCTATCCTGGCGTGGGTAAAGGTCTATCCTGACGTGGGTAAAGCTGGGTAAAATACACGTGTATTTTGTATGGATAAAATGGAGTTGTGTTGAATAGATTTTTCCTCCCTAATTATCGGCGTAGACTGCGGGGGTAAATGGCCATTAGGCTCTCAAACAGCTCTTTGAATGAGTAGTTTCACTGTCAACTTCTTTGTTAATCTCGGCGCTGATGGCTTGATAAAGCAAGGTGTCGTTGGCGGGTCCAGCGGCCATCTTTATACGTCTGTCTGTCTCGTCGTGATCAGATATGGGTCCTGAGGGTGTGGGGTCACGAGGGTGGGGTCACGAGGGTGGGGTCACGAGGGTGGGGTCCTGAGGGTGGGGGTCCTGAGGGTGGGGGCCACGAGGGTGGTCGAGGGGTGGAAAAGAAAATGAATTATCAAGTGATTGGTGCCCGGGTCTTCCTCCTGACCGGCCATACCGGATGTTTATGTCCTTAGTACCAGGTTCGTCCGCTAGGGGGACGTCCTTGTGGTGGCCGTTGGAAGCAAATTTCATATTTTGAGAAAGTAGGTCTAAGATAGGCCCTTCCTGGTTGATGGACTGGTCGACCAGGCTGTTAGATGTATGAGTCACAGCCTGGTTGATTAGGTATCTTTTGTAGGTGTTTATCCAGTTATCTCTTGAACACTGTGAGGGGTCGGCCAGTTATGCCCATTATGTGTAGTGGAAGCGTATTGAACAGTCTCGGGCCTCTGATGTTGATAGTTCTCTCTTGAACACTGTGAGGGGTCGGCCAGTTATGCCCATTATGTGTAGTGGAAGCGTATTGAACAGTCTCGGGCCTCTGATGTTGATAGTTCTCTCTTGAACACTGTGAGGGGTCGGTCAGTTATGCCCCTTATGTGTAGTGGAAGCGTGTTGAACAGTCTCGGGCCTCTGATGTTGATAGTTCTCTCTTGAACACTGTGAGGGGTCAGCCAGTTATGTCCCTTATGTGTAGTGGAAGCGTGTTGAAGAGTCTCGGGCCTCTGATGTTGATAGTTCTCTCTTGAACACTGTGAGGGGTCGGCCAGTTATGTCCCTTATGTGTAGTGGAAGCGTGTTGAACAGTCTCGGGCCTCTGATGTTGATAGTTCTCTCTTGAACACTGTGAGGGGTCGGCCAGTTATGCCCCTTATGTGTAGTGGAAGCGTGTTGAACAGTCTCGGGCCTCTGATGTTGATAGTTCTCTCTTGAACACTGTGAGGGGTCGGCCAGTTATGCCCCTTATGTGTAGTGGAAGCGAGTTGAACAGTCTCGGGCCTCTGATGTTGATAGTTCTCTCTTGAACTCTGTGAGGGGTCGGCCAGTTATGTCCCTTATGTGTAGTGGAAGCGTGTTGAACAGTCTCGGGCCTCTGATGTTGATAGTTCTCTCTCTCTCAGAGTATCTATTGCACCTCCTTGTCAAGGAATTCCCGATCTTAAACGCAAAGATCGATAAGGTTCATTTTCCTTTCTCATCAACACTCATCAATCTATCATTAGGCAGTTACATTTATTTAGAGATAATTCGTGCTAGACTCAATGACGTAACTCTATTAGTCATGTTGAATAGCACTTGACTATGAGAAAGACTGCTTCCAAAACCTACCAATTACATACACAAATATATATTTTTTTCACAGAACATAGTACTGTTGATACAACACAGGCCTCACTTTACTTTCAAGTTTTTACTTTACTTTCAAGTATTTAAAGTGATGGAAACTTTTGTACTCCTCTGGATTATCATTTGATGTATCCTGTTGTTGTAGTTGTTTAAAATTAACTGCCTGGAGCAAAAAATTCCAAGCAGCACGGGCTATGGTGAGCCCGTAGCTTTTGATATATCCTGTTGTGTGCCTTTAACCTGGACTAGATGAAATAGTTGACCCCATGACCCCAATGGCACTCGGGCATGGGGTAGAATGCACTTGGGCATGGGGTTGAATGCACTCGGGCATGGGGTAGAATGCACTCGGGCATGGGGTTGAATACACTCGGGCAGGGGTTGAATACACTCGGGCATGGGGTAGAATGCACTCGGGCATGGGGTAGAATGCCTTCGGGCATGGGGTAGAATGCCTTCGGGCATGGGGTTGAATTCACTCGGGCATGGGGTAGAATACACTCGGGCATTAGGTAGAATATACTCGGGCATTGGGTAGAATGCCCTCGGGCATGGGGTAGAATGCCTTCGGGCATGGGGTTGAATTCACTCGGGCATGGGGTTGAATACACTCGGGCAGGGGTTGAATACACTCGGGCATGGGGTAGAATGCACTCGGGCATGGAGTTGAATACACTCGGGCAGGGGTTGAATACACTCGGGCATGGGGTAGAATGCACTCGGGCATGGGGTAGAATACACTCGGGCATTGGGAAGAATACACTCGGGCATTGGGTAGAATACACTCGGGCATTGGGTAGAATGCCCTCGGGCATGGGGTAGAATGCCTTCGGGCATGGGGTTGAATGCACTCGGGCATGAGGTTGAATGCACTCGGGCATGGGGTAGAATGTACTCGGGCATGGGGTAGAATACACTAGGGCATTGGGTAGAATACACTCGGGCATGGGGTTGAATGCACTCGGGCATAAGGTAGAATGCACTCGCGCATAGGGTGAATGCACTCGGGCATGGGGTAGAATGCCTTCGGGCATGGGGTAGAATGCACTCTGGCATGGGGTAGAATACACTCTGGCATGGGGTAGAATGCACTCGGGCATGAGGTAGAATGCACTCGTGCATGAGGTTGAATGCACTCGCGCATAGGGTGAATGCACTCGGGCATGGGGTAGAATGCACTCTGGCATGGGGTAGAATACACTCTGGCATGAGGTAGAATGCACTCGGGCATGGGGTAGAATACACTCTGGCATGGGGTAGAATGCACTCGGGCATGGGGTAGAATGCACTCGGGCATGGGGTTGAATGCCCTCGGGCATGGGGTAGAATGCACTCGGGCATGGGGTAGAATGCACTCGGGCATGGGGTTAAATGCCCTCGGGCATGGGGTAGAATGCCCTCGGGCATGGGGTAGAATGCACTCGGGCATGGGGTAGAATGCACTCGGGCATGGGGTAGAATGCACTCGGGCATGGGGATGAATGCACTCGGGCATGGAGTAGAATACACTCGGGCATGGGGTAGAGTACACTCGGGCATAGGGTAGAATGCACTTGGGCATGGGGTAAAATGCACTCTGAAGCTAGACACAGATATAATGAAATAATCAATGATGGAGTCAGAGTTTGACTCCTGTGGAGTCCTTCCCATATTGGTCTCCGAATGCATGATGAAATGATGAGTTGGCCAAGACTTTTGCTCGTAAAGAGGGAGTTGATGACCATCTTGGACTGCCTTTGAGCAGCCTGAGGGCAGCAATATTCCGGGAACATCAACACAATCTCGTAGACTTGAGGCAAGGTGACATTCACACCAGTTGCTCCATCTATCATCATTCTATTATGCAGGAAGAACCGCACGTCTATGGGTCATCCAATAATGTTAGCAGACTTCTAGATGTTACCACTGCTAGGCTTAGGCTCGGCTACAAGTACCTCTGGCAGTTTACACCACCTGCTGATGTAGACTTGACTAAATGTAAACTCTGTCAGCAGAACTATTCCCACACTTTGTGTCATTATATAATGGAATGTGAACAAAATCGCGGCATTCAGAGATAACACCATCAATGGTGTCCAATAAATGTGTAAGTTCTTCATTCAAAGCTGCCGCCCAGTTGGGTGGGTGTGGGGCACATGACTGTAAAGCTGCCGCCCAGTTGGGTGGGTGTGGAGCACATGACTGTAAAGCTGCCGCCCAGTTGGGTGGGTGTGGAGCACATGACTGTAAAGCTGCCGCCCAGTTGGGTGGATGTGGGGCACATGACTGTAAAGCTGCCGCCCAGTTGGGTGGGTGTGGAGCACATGACTGTAAAGCTGCCGCCCAGTTGGGTGGGTGTGAGGCACATGACTGTAAAACTGCCGCCCAGTTGGGTGGGTGTGGAGCACATGACTGTAAAACTGCCGCCCAGTTGGGTGGGTGTGGAGCACATGACTGTAAAGCTGCCGCCCAGTTGGGTGGGTGTGGAGCACATGACTGTAAAGCTGCCGCCCAGTTGGGTGGGTGTGGAGCACATGACTGTAAAGCTGCCGCCCAGTTGGGTGGGTGTGGAGCACATGACTGTAAAGCTGCCGCCCAGTTGGGTGGGTGTGGAGCACATGACTGTAAAGCTGCCGCCCAGTTGGGTGGGTGTGGAGCACATGACTGTAAAGCTGCCGCCCAGTTGGGTGGGTGTGGAGCACATGACTGTAAAGCTGCCGCCCAGTTGGGTGGGTGTGGAGCACATGACTGTAAAGCTGCCGCCCAGTTGGGTGGGTGTGGAGCACATGACTGTAAAGCTGCCGCCCAGTTGGGAGGGTGTGGAGCACATGACTGTAAAGCTGCCGCCCAGTTGGGTGGGTGTGGAGCACATGACTGTAAAGCTGCCGCCCAGTTGGGTGGGTGTGGAGCACATGACTGTAAAGCTGCCGCCCAGTTGGGTGGGTGTGGAGCACATGACTGTAAAGCTGCCGCCCAGTTGGGTGGGTGTGGAGCACATGACTGTAAAGCTGCCGCC